TATCAATGTCCAAGTAATAACCTTTGATACATTTTTCACATGTAAAACCAGTTCTAAAAGTTTTTGGATCACAAACGGTGCAATGCTCTTTATCAGTGCAAACATTGCAATTTTCAGCGCATTGTTTACAATTGCCTTCGGAGTCTAAAAAGAAGTTTGAGTCTTTGCATGTTGTACAATTTGTTGTTGGTTCTCTTAATTCATCAACACACTCGGTACAATGGACGTAAATGCCGTTTCCATAGTCACAATTGCCTTTGCAAACCTTTCGATCATTGGGGCAAGCAACACATGTATTATTTTTTGGTTCAAGGTAAACACCATTCTCACATTCACAGTTTGGTATCTGTTTGTCGTTCTTACAACCTATACATCCTATATTACCATTAGTCATATTGCAGCCATTGCATACACTTGGACATCTTGCACAAGAACCATCAGTTGAATTGTATGTGTACCCAAATTGGCATGTAATACAATAATTCGTTGGTTCTGAAGTGTTTATTAAAATAGCATTGCCATCTTTACATTGAGTGCAAGCAGTTGAATCACATGTTAAACACCCAATTCCATGGTCGCACAATTGACATTCTTTTGTTTCGTCTAAATAATATCCATCAACACATTGCGAGCATTGTGTCAATCCGTATCCAAGTGACATGTGTTCTTTTTCACATTCCAAGCAATGGATTTGTTTGTTTTGAACAATGTATTTCCCTTCAGTCGAACATCCTTCTATTTTCTCGACACAAACATCGATCTTATTAGCTTCAGTTACATAGCCAGTTTTACATTCACATTGTTTTGTTGGATCTCTTCCTTGTCCTTCATATTGTTCTGGTTGACATGTCTGACAAGTCACTTCTCTTTTGCTGGTATCCCAAACACACGTCGCGCATTTTTCAGGGCACTTTTCACAATTGTCGTCTTTCAAATAAGTTCCCTTTGGACAAACACATTTTCCTGCAGACGTGTATTTTGCTCCAGTTGCACAGAGTGTGCAATGTATACCATTTGCACTCTCAATACAACCGTCAAGAGAATTCATCTTTGTACAATCAGTGAATGTTGAAGAATTCGGTTGATAGTATCCATTTTTACACATACAGTTTTTGGTCACATCTCTGTTGGTCTTCGCACATTCTAAATCAGTATTACCAGTAGTTTGTGTTTTGTACATGTAATTTCTTCTCAGTATTGGATTGCATTTACTTCCAGGGTTGGTGGTCTCATTATATGCAGGTACTAACTCTTCAAAGAAAGAGTTGACTCCTTTGTACTTACAGAACTTATAAGTTGTGTCATAAGTATCAACAATTGCTATAATATTGTCAGTTGGAGTTAATATGCATTTTCCATTTAATAAAACACCATTGGGGTTGCCATTATTAAAAGCACATTTATAACAAGTAATACCATCATCAGCACATTGAGCGCAATTTTCATCTTCACACGGTTCTGCTTTAGTTGATTTCCAATTGTCATACAAAGAAGTTCCAGGCATAGGCGTATCTGCTGTTAAACATTCCATAAAATGTCCTTTGCATTTTTTGCATGAATAGAACTTGGCTTCGTTGTCATAATCAAGATAATACCCAGCCTTGCAAGTTGGGCTTCCAGAAGACATCTCTAACCCACCATTTGAAAATAGATTGCATTCACCATTAAGTGCAAAATATCCATCTTCACAAATACCACATTTTTCATCAGATCTAAATTCAACACAGTGATTAGAAACACATTTATCTCCTGTTACTTTACATCTTTTATTGCATTGAGTACACTTGGTGGTATCATACAATTCGCACAAACTATCGTATTCTTTATTTTCTTCTCCACTCACTTCACAGATTGTACATTGATTGGTAATGTCAATATAATAACCCTCTCTACAAGACGTGCAAGTGATCGCACTAGGTGTTTCTTTTAGTTGATTGCAATTAATGTCTGTTTTAACACATTCATTTGATGATAAAATATAACCAACATCACACTTTAAGCAGTTTTCCCCGTTTTGTCTTATACATCCTCCAAGTTCTTTTTGTTCAAGTTGACAATGTTTATCTTCATTAAGTGCCTTGTCTCCAAAACATTTGAGACATACTTGTTTGCCTCTTTCAAATCCAGAAAGAGCACAATTTGTTTTATCAAAAACTTCATCTCCAATTGGAGCATCTTCACATGCATCCATATTAACATTTGTTGCAAGTCCTTGTCCACAATACTTGCATTTCTTTGTCAATGATGATTCACTTCCCGAATCAAAGGTACTCACACATTGTTTGCAAATGTCGAATGTTTTGTTAAACCTACAAGTACATGAACCTGTTGAACTACATTGGTTGCATCCGTAATCACAAAATTTGCATTGATTGTTACTTAAATATACATAAGGATCATTAACATTGCAATTTGTTGGATTATAGACACAATTTCCATTTTCAAGTTTGTAATAAATATTTTCACACTCAATACAATTGATAGTATCAGTTGGGGTTCCATCATTATTAAGTGTTCTTGTAAACTTTTTACAATTTGGGTGAGTCGTTCTTGGTTCTGTGTCTCCCACTTTTAAAAATGGATCTGCGTTTGCCAAAAGTATCAATAAAGATGTTAAGAACATTTGTATTTTTCAGTTATATTTTTTTCATAAATAGAAACAACTTCTACATCAAAGTTGTTTAAACTTAAATATAATAATTTTATTGTTGTCGAAAAACTTAATTTTCATTTACCGGTCTTATCTCTTTTTATTAATGTAAAATACAGAATAAAACCTAATTATAATCGTTGATACGACAAGTTTTTCTTTGTAACTTCTTTGTTATAAATAAAATTTACAAAATTTGGTCCGGTTATTCAAAACAACTTTTCGGTTTGGGATTCAATTTTAATAAGTCAAAAAAAATATAGAAGTTTACTTGATAATCATTTCTTTGTTGAAATACGCCTAGAATCAATAATAATTTAAACGGCTTTTGGTATTTGGTTATAACAATTAAATCAATAAGAATTAATAAATTTTATTTGTGTTCA